ACCAACACAATATGTATCTCTCCCATACGTTCCGAATCTGAGCAATTCCATTATCAGATGTCTGCAAGAGGACTATCCGTCGATCAAAATTGCCAACAGCAATATACACACTGCCAAGATGCTATATACAAACGTGAAGGATCCAGTCGAGCCGTTGCTGCAAAATAACGTCATATACAACATTCCCTGTCGAAACTGTGAGGGATGCTATATAGGTATGACTACGAACAAGCTGAAAACCCGAATAAGTGGCCACAAGTCCAATGTAAACAAACTTGAAGGCCTACTAAATTCGGGTCACACATACAATGATCAAGCAATGATCGAGATAGGCAACAAAACAGCACTAATCGATCACTGTATAAAATACAAACACCGATTTGTACTGGACCAAGCCAAAATTATGGACAGATCCTTCATTGCGTCAAGATTACCAATGTTAGAATGCTTCCACATATACAATACACCACGTACCGTAAACTATAGGACAGATGTTGAAGGTATAAGTTCTATATATTCAGGAGTTCTGCGTACAATAATGTAGTCGAGCCACAAAACCAAAACGAATGTCCCACATCCACCACCACCGCCACCGCCTCCACCACCTCCAATTCCACCAGCTCCACTACCACATCCCTTTACCGCAGCCCCACCAGAGTCAACCCTATCTCCAGTTTCACAACATCACAACAACCAATGAAGCCCATCACCAACAACGATTATCCCATTTTTACAAACCAATACCCAAGCAACAATAGTGAATAAGAAATAGTATCTCTCTCTCGATTTTGCTCTCCTGTATTATACCATGTATCGATGTATGTCAGAGTCCATTTTGGTGTCATAGTAGGTGGTAATATAAAAAAAAAACCAGGTAGCAAGAAAACAACACAGAATATCCACCAACGCATCTATCTCTCCAATGCGGTAAAAGCTGTAGGTATTTTAAGCTTTCAAAAAACTAACTCCAACGTTTGCAGATATCTTGGAAGAGAACCGAGAAAAAAAGCTATGACAACCGATCGTGAAGCTTCAGACGCTGAACGAAAAACGGTACAACTTTATGTGAGTCTTTGTGTAAAAAATAATGTTAGAGTTACAATGCTAAATGTTCAATGTATTAATTGTAAATAAAACTTGTAGATCCCCTGAAGAAGGCCAAGTCCCAAGGCCGAAACGTCGGATCTAACCACGGGAGCGGAGCTCTAGGATCAGATTCATGAATTGACCACTTTTACGGATGTTCCGGATCTTCCGGTAGACCATCCCGTGGTCTCCAGTGTCCATATTCCACTCACAATTTCAAATTCATTCTGATAACATGTCTAATACTGATTTCGAAAAATCCGCTGAGCTCTAGGATCAGATTCATGAATTGACCACTTTTACGGATGTTCCGGATCTTCCGGTGGACCATCCCGTGGTCTCCAGTGTCCATATTCCAGTCACAACTCCGAATTCATTCTGATAAGATGTCTAGGAGTGATTTCGAAAAATCTGCTGAGCTCTAGGACCAGATTCATGAATTGACCACTTTTACGGATGTTCTGGATCTTCCGTTGGACCATCCCGTGGTCTCCAGTGTCCATATTCCAGTCACAACTTCGAATTCATTCTGATAAGATGTCTAGGAGTGGTTTCGAAAAAACCGCGGAGCTCTAGGATCAGATTTATGAATTGACCACTTTTACGGATGTTCCGGATCTTCCGGTGGACCATCCCGTGGTCTCCAGTATCCATATTCCAGTCACAATTTCGAATTCATTCTGATAAGATGTCTAGGAGTGGTTTCGAAAAAACCGCGGAGCTCTAGGATCAGATTCATGAATTGACCACTTTTACGGATGTTCCGGATCTTCCGGTGGACCATCCCGTGGTCCTCTGGGTTCATTTTCAGGTCACAACTCCGAATTCATTCTGATAAGACGTCTATGAGCGGTTTCGAAAAAACCGCGGAGCTCTAGGATTAGTTTCATGAATTGACCACTTTTACGGATGTTCCGGGTCTTCCGGAGGATCAGGCTCTTGACGTTCCGGATGCTAAATGTTCCCAAAAGGTGGCAAATATTCTGTTTAATAACTTTTCAGAAGACACCAGGAAGTTATCTCTTCAAATTACCCTACAATAAGAGTTTGTCCCCAATTAGCTCTAATCCCATATGCTACGTGTATTCGTTAATGCCGGTTCCTATAGTGCGGTCCCTATTAACCGTACTATAGGAATCTTGACTGTATATGCAAAGCTTCTAGCAAATCGGAGAAGGTCGAGTCAATTTATTTTTAATTTGGTTTTGCTATTTAGCGTGGATCTGGTCATCATTAAACAAATTGGCAAAGCAAGTGAAAGTGTCGCTGAAAGGGATTGAAAGCCATAATGAGGCTTCGTTTCAACTCGAAAGTTGACGTTACATTCATTGAAAGGGGTGAGCAAAGCATCGGCGAGAAAATCCACAGCCAGCTTTTCGTTCTAAGCAGAGCTGGTAAATGTCTTGGACATTATGTTGGGAAAAAATGTCACGACATTTTTCCCCCATACGTTTTTATAGCGACATTTTATTGGACAAAAATCTCGTTCTAATGGCGTTACTGGAGCAAACATATCGTCTACATACCGTCTCCACACTCGTCGGAAATATTTTTCCAAAGTCGTTCTTGAAAACGTTCGCTAGAGAGGCGAAATCATGCTATCCCCCTGAGCTTGTAGGATTTTCATCTGAAAGTGAACACATTCTGATTCATACACATATGTAGGGTAAATGATGGCTCCCGCAGTTATTGACTGTTTTCGGCAACCAAAATTGAATGATTAATTTTACTGAATTTTCTCACCAAAATACTTTGCTGAATGTATTTAAACCACTCCTTAGACTTTCAGTTTCAATCCCATTACATTTTTGCGACGCAATTGTTTTCTAACCATCCTACAAAATGTATGAAATTAGATCGGTCAAAATGAGATTTTCGATTTTTTATGTATTCCTTGGATTTTCGCTAACATGCTCTCACATACCGCATCGATACAACTAGATATGACCATCTCTATAGTGGAATTCCTGTATAAAGGAAGAGAGAAGGATTTTTAATTTCGATTTGATTCCACTACCTTAACTGCTTATCCTTGACAGCTACGCGTATTTCGTCTACAATGTGAAGACTTCTTCAGTGTTACATTGTAGACGAAATGCGCTCCTCTGTCAAAGATAAGCAATTAATGTAGTGGACTTAAATGAATACTACTAATCCTTCTCTCTTTCGTTTTAAAATAGTTTTGGGCAAATATATCGATTGGAATGGACCGAGCAGCAGATGACTGTAAACAAATAAACACTGCATATGTGTGCGTTACGATGAGAAAAAGCCGATAGAAGCACGGACGTTGCTAATATCGACTTCTCTGACGTTTGTGAATTGCATAAGTATTAGTGCAGAACTTTGGGTGAATCCGAAGGTTTTCTTGCACAAATACTTATAATTTACCCCAAGTTCTTCACTAATGCTTGTGCATTTCACAAACGTCAGAGAATTCTCTTAAGTCTATTGACTAGAATACGTAAATTACCCTACCTCAACCACTAGAAGGTAAGTCGCAATGTGATTGTGTGGCGCTCAATTACCTTTCAAATGTCGACGCAGGCTTCTTAAATCGTCGGTGGTTGGAACATCAAACGATACCAGGATCTCACCTCGTCTCAACTTAAACCCTTATTCAAGCTGCTCAATCAGATGTATAGATGTTTTCCCATTTTTTTTCCCATGGGTTACGGGATACTTCTTCATTTCATCCACCAAACAAGTTGCCATTTTCTCGGTTGGTGTGTCGTCGGGTTGGGACGTGAAATTTCCTCTCCCATCAGACGATCATCGCATTGAGCGGATCATTAAGCTTGCCATTCTTAAATTTGTACTCTTCGTACTGATCATGGCACGGACGCGTGAATCATAATCTTCCTTGTCCATAATCAAAACAGCGTTTCTCTTATCCGCACATTACGTGTTTTCAACAGGACGATTGTACATAATGTGTCGAAATTGGTGCGTTCGTGAAGTATGTATATAGTAGAATTTAGAATTGAATTGTAGAAGTTTAAGATCAAGATATCCAACTTAAAGCATTGACTGTTTTACTGTGTGTCACGTCAAATAGCCTCACGCTGTATAATATAGCATCAACAAATTTTCAATTCTGGGATTTCCACAGTGAAAATCAAACCGGCCATTGAAACCTGCAAATGATTGAATTTTTTTACGTTCCTGTAGAGCAATGCTGCAACTATCTGCAGATCAATGCAGGAAAAAGTGTCTTTTTTTTGTACAAAACACAACCCGAATCACGAGAGCGGTCGATTACTACCTTACCCACCGAAAGCAGGCAGTGTCAGCAAGTGCGCAGGGAAAGTGACGGAAGGTTGAACAAACGTGATTAAGTACGGCGAATTTCGGCGACCACCGACCCGCCATCAGCACACGCCGTTTCTTAGCTACACGGCGAATGAGAACGACTCAAATTTGAGTTTAGTTCACTCATAATCGCCAAAAGTGCAGGAACTCAGCGATGAGTAAAATTTGTCCCATGGTTTCCTGTGGAAAACCTAAAAAATCTGCCGGAAAATGAGGAAATTGACGAAAATTTTATTCAACTGAGTGAATCCAATCTTTACTTTTTCTCAAATTCGGGAATTTTTCCCTGGAAAAACCTGGGAAAACATGAGGCAAATTAAGTCATCGCTGAGTTCCTGCACTTTTGGCGATTATGAGTGAACTAAACTCAAATTTGAGTCGTTCTCATTCGCCGTGTAGTCAAGTTCGCCGGTCGGTCATAATGGAAAGTGAAACCAATTTATGCGCTAATCTTGTGCTTTTTTCCTGCATCGTCGTCAACGTCGTCGTCTGTATCTTTCTCTTGCACCGCGCTCATACATCTACTGTCATAAGCTAATTGCGCATAGTAATAAGTTTCATTTCTGTTTTTCTTCATTTCCTTCGTTACTCTGGCTTTGAAGGTGGCACTCATTGTATGTGTCTCCAATTAAATGGCCACTTGTCGTCTCGTCGCGTGAATTACCTACACCCGTCGTCGGAGCTTTTCGCTGGGAAACGACCATGTTTCGTCCACAGCTCAACCCGTCCCAGAACATTCGGGAGAAGATGAGACTCTTCGAGCAAGGTTTGGGTCAATGTCCTTTTGCCTAGGGTTTTACGTATGCTTGATTACAATTTTCCCTAGTAAGAAAGGTAAAAACGAAACCACACACTGCTTAGATTAGAACCCCGCTAATCGCCTACGTTTCAGCTCACGTTTTTGCCGACCAGACACGAACATCGTTAATCAAATCAGCGCACACTTGTTTAGCTGTTTGAGTAGTATTTTGATTCCCTTTTATCGCTACATACATATCTAGTTAAGTTGTTTTTCCATCGTCCACAGCAAATGTTGCTTCTATCCATATTTAGTATCGTTGAAAAAAAAAAAAAACTGACACGTGAGATCTAATCAACGCCGTTCGTTTGTTTTTGTTTCGTTTTTCTTTCGATTCAGATGCGAGCTTAGACAGCTCCAACTATCATCATAGAAGAAGATACTCGGATAACAACAACACATCGTACTGTGGTGTTAAAAGTAGCACTGGTTGTGGTGGTGGTGGTGGTCAGTACCAGAACCAAAATCAGGAACCGGAAAGTGACGACGGAACGAACCCTAGAATGATGCCCCCGATTAACCATTCCAGCACGCAGGGAGTCATGACCGACTCGCAGGGACTCATCGTACCGAAGAAGCTGGCCAACCCCTGCGTCGATTCGACGGACCGACAGAACCTGCATCGGGAGCTCATGTTCAACCAGAAAATGTGAGTATTTTTTTAAGAATCATAAATAATCCATCAAAAGAATGGAAGCAGAGTTCAAGACCGAGTTTTGAGTTTTTAGGAACCTGTCAAGAATTTGTTTGATATGTATTATAAATGAGATTCTGGAAATTTACTTCTTAAAACCCGGGAGATCATGTTGGAATGGTGAGATATGCAGTATTACTTGGAATTCCTTCAATTTTCTATGACAAGACCACCAAGTCATGATGGGTTCTTATTTGGAACATGTCTCAGAAAAATAAATCACAATTTTAAATCTCAAAACTGGGTTACTATTTTCAAGTCATTAGTGACTGAGTCACTTTTTTAACCCAAAAGTCACTAAAGTTACTATTTCTTAAAATTTAGTCACAAGGTTTTTTACGACCAATAATGTTGAGAGTAAAGAATTTGCCTTTTAAAGTCCGACAAACATGAGTCGGGAACATACCAGAACTGTCCAATGGGTGTTGATGAAATCACTGATTAATTTCAACTCCGTGATCGAGACATTCAAGTCCGTTATCTTCAAAATTTGTCCAGACCAGATTATAAAATTTCTTTTTATTTCCCTTACTTGTGATCTTGAAATATTCCTAGACAATTTCATCACAATTTTCCAAATATCCTAGCTTTTTAAATTCGTGATTTTGAAAGTTTTCCAAGCCTTACACACCAAATTTCTTGAATCTTGTTCGGTACTTTTTTGCTGGATTCGTCCTGTAAAATATAATTTTTACCGAAAGCTTTGTAAAATGTATTGTTTTACCATTATTCCGCAACCAAAACTGCTGATTTTTCGTAATTTATAGAAATTTACCGAAAACTGTAAATCAAAATAACTGATCGAAATTGTAAATGGCTGCAATTCCGTAATACTGTGAACATTGTGACGAATATACTGTAAACATATTCTTTGCGTTAGCGTTAGCGTTGTTATGATATACTTCGTAGATTGGATACTAGCGACACTCACGTCTCTTCTGAAATTCTCAGTTAGACTACTTTCAGGAATAATGCTGGGGAGTAAACATTGGTTCCAATCTAAATAAGAGTAACAGAAGCATGACTGTCGCTATTCTCGGCCACTCCCATCTTTACCATAACTAGGGATATGGAAGGAAATGTTGATGTAGTACTTACTTAACGAGAGGCCACCGACTAAGCGACACCCTCATAAGTGCTACGGAGTTGGAGGGTTGGGTAGGGTATTCGGTTAGGACTCAAGTTGGCGATGCAACCAAAAGTATGTATTGTTTATTTGTTGTTTATTTAATCTCTCGATAGCTGGCTATCGAAAGAACATATTCATTTTGTTTAGTGATCATGCATTTTAAGCGTCATGACGGAGATCTTGGGATTAAACCCATGATTTTCTGCTCAGTAAGCAAAAACGATCCCTCCAGGGCCATCGAGCATCTCAGAACCATAACGAACAGATCCAAAAGCAAACTGGGCCAGGTCCTTAATTACTTTACAAACGGACGCACGATGAAAATACTTGTTTATAAATAATAAATGGTTTATGAGTCAAATTAATCGTCAGGTTTGTTGTTAGAAAGAAATAATGTATAATTCAATAAAATTCATGTTATTATTGATTCATTCAGGAAAATAAAATACAGTCAATTCGGCAAAAAATATGTCGAAATTTACCAAACGAGCATGAGCATGATTGACCGCCCACGGTTGCCAGATCAGCTGTAATTACACAGATAACCAATAGACGATACTTGGGACTAGCAATCATCCTCAATGTGTAAAAACTGGTGATCTCAAACTAGGCAATACCAGCGCCGGCCGTGCCCGGACACAGGTCAGGAAAGGAATGTATTGAAGTGACACTCGCTTTGATGGAAGCCGAGAACAGTAAGAGGGTTGGGATTGCAGCAGAGTTCGTTTTGGTAAACGATATGCTGAATTGATGTCCTAACGATCATATAACGCGAAGGAGTTTGGGATTGAACCCACGATATTCTGCTTAGTAAGCAAAAAAATTTGCCACTAGGCAAACGAGCTCCTTTGTATTCAAATTAACAAATAAAGCGATTAACGAATCTTGAATGTGGAGTGGCTTGAGATTAAACTCATGATGTTCTACTCAGTAAGCAAAAATGGTCGCTCTAAGGCCACCAAGCCCCTCATCACGATCGCGTTGTTATTGCAACCCTTCAAAACCGGCCCCGACAGTGACGTTGATGACGATGTTAAGTTTCACAAAACACACGATAATCACGCAATGTTACTATAAGCCTCCTTAATATGACAGGAACTGGGATTTATTCAAACTCAAACACGACGGCGGTGCCCGTTACACAAGAATAATCCTTTACGACCGATGATCTTTTAAACCTGGAGACAAAAAAAACTACGAAAAAGCGCTTATGCCTTCATTAAATTCTACATTTACGTAACGTTCGTTGTTTCGATTTGGTCTTTACGTAAGACGGGAACAGAATCCATAAAACTTTCAGCCTTACTTCACGCTTGACGATTTTACCAGCGTACAAATAATGCACATCAACTACTGTTTTCTCCTTCATATTTCACCGGACCGCCCCGATTATGCGTCAAACTACCGTAGATTTCGAAAAATGCTTAAGGAAAATTTTCATGTTCTAGATTTTTTTTTCAAAGACTAGAATTTCCAACAATTTTTTAAACTTAGTAGTAACATCGAGCAAAAATCATAGCACATAATTAAATCCATTAAATTGTGTTGTATTTTTTTTTTCGCTGGAATCATAAATTTCCAAGTCTATATTAAAAAACATCTATGTCCATGATCATTAGACTGATGCAAAATTTGCTCCACAGTGCTTAAAACGGTTTCAAATCAGGTCCTGATTAGCCTCCCAAAATTTAAACTCATTTGGTAAGAAACTGACTTGGCACAAACTATTCGAAGTTTATATGGAAATTACTATGGGAAAACCAAACTTTTTGTTCATTGTCTTCTACCTATTTTCCATATTGCTTTTTCGAAAATTTCTATAACTATTCTTACGGTAAATTTTCTAAGCTACAACTTTGCGGAATATCGTTTTTCTAGTAATGGTTTGTGTCAAGTCAGTTTCTTACTAAAGTAGTTCAAATTTTGGGAGGCTAAGGAAGACCCAATTTGGAACCGTTCAAGCACTGTGGAGCGAAAATTTCAAATTTTGCATCAGTCTGATGATCATAAAATGTTATTTACGTATCAGAAGCATTTGAATTTTTGTAGGACTGTGATCTTAACTTCTACATATTCAAAATATGAAAATTATTACAGGCCGCAAAGTTTCCTAATTTGTTTGTCTTAGAGATCTTCCAGCATGGAACAGTTCATCCCAGATTATTTTTTTCGAGATCGAGATATTAAGTCCTAGACGCATGCCAAATTTTCTATGTCCGCGATCATCGTTCCAGAATTGTCAAAGTTTGTCTAGCTCCGAGACTTTGAACATTTTTCTCTGTGCATCAATGTTTTGTTTTAATCACCAATTCGCGATCTGAATCTTAAAACATCTTAGTCAATTGTTAGTTTTCATAAATCGAGTCAGAAAAATGAGTACAGAATGAGGAAATGGACAATGCACTTGGTTATTGAATTAATACACTTATTATTATACAAATAATAATTTTTCGAGATCTAATTTATTGGATTCCTAAACCTTTACAGAACCTCAATTTACGAACCAAACTGGGGGTTCGTAAATCGAATTAGCTTGAGCTTGAGCTTGAGCTTGATTGACCGCCCACGGTTGCTACTCTGTTATTGCCAGATCAGCTGTAATTACACAGAGAACCAATAGACGATGCTTGGGACTAGCAATCATCCTCAATGTGTAAAAACTGGTGATCTTAAATTAGGCAATACCAGCGCCGGCCGCGCCCGAACACAGGTCAAGAAAGGAATGGGAAGGATTGTGTTGACATGACACTCGCTTTGATGGAAGCCGAGAACACCTCTGCACTTCCACGAGGAATCACTGGGATGTTGGATAAGAGGGTTGGGTTTGCAGCAGGGTTCGTTTTGGTAAACGATAAGCTGAATTGATGTCCTAACGATCATATAACGCGAAGGAGCTTGGGACTAAACCCACGGTCTTCTGCTCAGTAAGCAAAAACGTTTGCCACTAGGCAGACGAGCACCTTTTTAATCACCGAGTTGCTGTTATTACCATGTAGTCATGTTAACAAATAAAACGATTGACGAATCTTGATTGTGGATGGGCCTGAGATTAGACTCATGATGTTCTGCTCAGTAAGCAAAAACGGTTGCTCTAAGGCCACCGAGCCCCTCATATCACATAATACCGTTGCTCTAATTTTTGTATCCATTCAAACCCGGAACCAACGACAACAACGAGTTTCGCAAAATACACGATACACAAGCGATTTTACTATAACTGGGACCGCGTTTTTCTGCTCAGTAAGCAGGCCACTGTAACCGACGATCTTTCAAATCCGAAAACTAAAAACTACGAAAAAGTACTTAGGCCTTCATTAAGTTCCACTTTCACGCGACGTACAATGTTTCAATTTGCTCTTTACGTATTGTTCAGGCTAGGCCCTTTTCAAAATTTACGCGAGAAATACGCACAATCGTCACCTACCTCGCAAAACTGGTTCCAAATGACAACAAAGGCATTAGCAACGATGGATTGTTGAACTTTGCTGGCTCCGGTGGTGTAGTGCACAGCAAAAAAAATGTAATATCGATCAACGTAATTCAAGCTGATGTATGGAATAATGATGTAATTGTAATTTTGTAATTTATCAGCACACACCCTGGTCGACCATCTGCCGTTCAGCGTTTTCGGTTTTTGTTTCTGGATCTTTAGTTGCCTCTGTGATATACTTACTTGCGGCATACTATTTTGGGAGTGTATATGAGCGTGTACCATGTACGGTAGCTCATCTCTCATCGTGATGGTGGGACATAGTAGACAAATTAGAGAGAAAACAAGGAGGTATTAGTTATATGTAAACAAACAAAACAAAAGTTAGATAATGCG